AAAATTAATTGAATAAAATGAATTAAATCATTAACTGCCTTTAGGTGTGATACTTCAGTAAACTGATTTGCTCTCCAACACTGCCATCTATTGCACTACCAGCAGCCTGTGCAAGAAAAACACATACATTAGTGCTTTTTCACACTATTTTTAAACTGTTTTTTATACTTGTATCTCATTTTAACAGCTTCCGTCCTTTCAGAATTTGACCTATTTGGTGCATATTTGCTGCCATCATTACACTGACTGGTCTGTATATTCTCTGAATTTGCAATATTAAAGCCTGTGTTTGTGTGTAAATCTTGTAAATAAGCGTTTGTTTCCGGTAAGCATCTTGAGACACTTAAGCTACAAGCAGTAAAGTAAGTTTAGCATGTCGTTCATTTCATAAAACAGTCCGTCTGTGTCACTAAACCAGCGCCGGCGAACAAGTTGACTGTGAGACGTCGGTGATTGTCGACAAAATCCGAAGTTGTCGATTTGTACACGAGGGAGGGGGGCGGTGTGTGTGTGTGTGTCTGTGTGTGTGCGCGCGCGCTGAACTGAGCGGAGGTGAAGAAGAGGAGGATGAAGCTGGGAGCGGAGGATGGGAGGAAGAGTGGAGTAAGAGACAGGCTAGCTGTATGTGAATAAGTGAGTGAAGAAGAGGAGAGGAAGGTCGCCAGAGAGAGAAAATAAAAACTTCTATTTTTGGAGATAATTGCCGGAGCGTCGCCAACGGAAACTTTCAACTTTTTACCCGCCACTGCTCTCTTGTTGTACCCAGAGCCGGCTTTGTTTCGCGGCGGGGGTGTTGACGATAAATGAAGGAATAAAATAGACTCCCATCGACCTGTTTCTACCCAAGCGGGGAATACCCTGGGACTGCTTCTGATAAAGGTTACGAGAGAATGGCGGCCAACATGTACCGAGTGGGAGGTAAGGAATGGTTTACATTTTTAAGACACCCCTTCAACGTGATTGTTCGCTTCTACTGGGAGCTGGCTAACTAGCCGCTAGCTGTCTCTGCTGTTAGCAGCTAGCTAACGCTAGCGTACGCTTCGCGACTCCGGGCTTTCATCAAGACCGTCAGATCTGCCGAAACAATGTAGTATGACTTAGCTTACAGACAGACGTAAATAACTTCACATTGATTTGGTTTCCACACAGCTGTAGCCAAGTATAGCTGCTTCTGTGTTCGGACTGTAATAATACAATACATTGAGCAGTGCATATCTGTTTTAAAGTTCAACTTTTACAACAGATCTGTGTTATATCCCAGTTAGTTCACGCCATCATAGTACCGTACCACAGGGCGGCCGTCGCACAGCATGAACCGGTTCTGAAAGTTTGTATTTATACAAATCCATCCAGCCAGCTGGATCCAGGAGATCCAAACATATGCGTTGGTTATAGATAAGCGAAATAACAGTAAATTGTCCAATTCTCTGACGTGTAGTCTATAGATTTGATAACGTCCTCAAAATGAACACAATGCTAGCTAGCATTAGCTGCTGGCGGTTGAGAAGTAAGCATCTAGCTAAATTTGGTGACGTCTGTGATGGCTTGCTAACACCGCTCTGCTAGCTGTGTCAGGCTGGTAGGTTAATTTCATTATCGCCTCCGCCATATCACTAGATGTGCTAATTCTGGCTGCTAAGTCCTGTTAGCTTGGCGTAGTAGCGGTGCTAAGAATTTAGTTTACAGACTGTGAACAGTTATATTGGAACACCTGCAAGTGAACGACTGAATTTGTACCAAGTTAAGTGGTAATAACTCGTTAAGTTCTCGTTTGTTAAAAATGTTTCATCAGCGCTACGTGGCTGCAAAGGAAACTGGTATGTCGGTGGTATTAATCAGGTAATTAGTCATTAATATCATCTTTCGCAGCCCCCCGCGACACCAGTGGCAGGCATTTATAAGACGCAGTTCATTGGAGGTTGCTTTGCAGGCGTCAGAAAAGAAACTAAACTGTGGTTCATACAAAGCAAGCTGCTGTTCTCTACTGTTAGTTTTCCAGTCGGATCATCTGGACAGTTGATTCTGGGCTTCAGTATTGATTGTGAAACCTTTTCAGTGCTAAGCCTCGGAGACGGTGCTAGCTACGGGTGCCCTGAAAATCTTGAGCGGGGGGAAGGCTAATCGCAGTCTCACGAGTGTGTGGGGTATTTAGGTCATAGCGATTAAACTATGCTCTGCAAACATGCTGCATATTTCTGCGCTTAATGTTTGAACAGTTAAGGTGTTTTTTGTTTTTTTCCCCCATTAACTTCTTATCACTAACCCGCAAAAAAAACACACACGTGTGTGTTTTTTGTATGTGTGTGCTCTGTGTGTATGTGTGTTTCATGGATCCACGTATGTTGCTGCTAAAACACTTGACGTTTCGGCTTTAGGATCCCTGCTATTGTAGCTACTATTTGTGCAGAGGTGTGCAGGGTTTCATTTTTGTTGAGAGCAACATAGCGCTATGTGGAAGGAGAGTCAATTTAGAAATATCAGCTAGAAAATTGTAGTGATTTTGTAAGGTGGGTTCCTAGAGAAACCTATTGTTTGGAGCTAATTATTGGAATTTATAGAAGAGATAAAGCACCAGAAGTCAAAGCTTGGCACTAGTCATGCATTAGCTAAAGACAATTATTGATAAAGGGTTATATGGGAAATTGTCAGAAAATTCAGTCGTAAATATTGTGAACAAAGATTAAGTTTTCTTAACTCAGGATAAGAATTTTTTTCTTTTACAATACTGTGTCATACATTTTATGTCTTACATATTGAGAAATGTGCTTCCATCACTTTGTGGTTGGACTGTAGAGGGGTTGGAAGAGCCACCTTGCTAGATCAAGTTTGTGCAGGGAAATAAAGGCCATAGTGTGATGCCATATAGTGCATCAATGAGCCATAAACCCAGGAACAGGATTTTTCATTAGCAAAGACTACTAAATGCATCATTATGTGTATTTTAATATTATATATTATAGGGTAAAAATAAACACCTGTACAGTTGTATTTAAAAACTACAAAGTTCAGTTTTTCATGTCAGTGAGGTTTTATAATATTTTGCATGTGGTGAATTGATCGAGCCAGCTGGGGCCTTTGTGTGTGGGTTCTCTCCAGGTACCGAGTTACCCACTCGGTGATTCTAAACTGGCCGTAGCTGTGAATGGTTGTCTGTCTCTGTATTGAGCTGGTTTTATGGTCCCACATGTATCTGTTCACATCCACAATCTAGATTGGATTTACTGAATGTTGACAAGTGGAATAGAGAAGGGAGCAAAGTTTACAGGAAACGGGAGAATGGAGAAAAAAAGCACTAACGGTGGTTGCAGTGACACTTTTCATTGTTTTTGTTTCACTTCAGCTTTTTGTATGTCAGAACTTTTCTTTCCTCAGCATGTGGCTGAAGGACATGGATTCATGAACAATGAATAAGGCACCTTTACGGGACCTTTGGACCAGCTTGAGTCGTGTGATAGAGTAGTGATCTTTCCAGGGTGTGTAGTTTAAAAGTAAAGACTAGTTTGTTAGTTTTAATGCACTGTGTGTGTCACTATTTTATGCTTGCACTGTGGTTGGTAATAAACTTAGTGATGTGGTGTGATGCAGATGTAGTAGCACGTTATGTTGGAAACTGTTTAGGTGTGCTTGGGAAAACGGAGATTATTTTAGTGCATAAAATCGCGCTGACGATCGCCTCTTGTGGACATCTGCTTGGCCAGCTGGTTGTGCTGCTTGATCTGTAAACTCCACCTTATCGGTCTGATGAACCACTGGCACGCCTGACTCTAACAGGCACGCCTTCACACTGTCTGCACAAAGTACTCTACAAACCCAAGCATTACAGCTAACAGCTGGGATTTCCCGTTTAGATTCAGATAGCCAGCAACAAAGAACCGCTTACTGCTATGTGAGATCAGTGAGATCATTGACCAGACTTTCTACGGATACTGACTACGAAATGGGGCAATTGTCAGCCACCTCCTCTACACGGATGACATCAAGCTGTATACCACGAGTGAACGAGACATCGATTCACTGATCCACACCACCAGGATATACAGCAATGACATTGGAATGTCATTCAGACTGGAGAAGTGAGGTGGGATGATAACAAAGAGAGGGAAGGTAGTCAGACCTGGGGGAATCAAACTATAAGAAGGCAACATTGCAGACATAGAGGACAGCTATAAGTACCTGGGGATCCCACTGGCAAATTGGAACCATGAAGAGGTCACTAGGAAAGCTGGAACCACCAAATACCCGCAGAGGGTCAGGAAAGTCCTGAGGAGTCAGCTAAACGGTAAAAACAAGATCTGTGCTATCAACTCCTACGCCCTGCCTGTGATCAGGTTCCCTGCTGGGATAATAAGCTGGCGAAAGGAGGAGATAGAAGCCACTGACATCAAGATGAGGAAGCTCCTGACCATGCATGGAGGGTTTCACCCCAAGTCCAGCACTCTGAGACTGTATGCCAAGCGAAAGGAAGGAGGCCGGGAACTAATGAGTGTCAGTATCACAGTCCAGGATGAGACAAGAAAACAGTGGTCCCAGTGGTAATTGTAGCACTCAATTAGCTAGGCGAGTGGCTCCAGCAGATCCCAGGAACAACATCTGAGATTTCTGTCCATAAGAGTGCAGTCCTAGGAACAGCTAAGACACTGCGCAGGACCCTCAAACTCCCAGGGCTCTGTAAGAGGACCCGAGCTTGAAGGAGAGATGATGTGCAGTGAGGTTCAGGGCTGGTGAGGCACTGCTTTCATCAGAATCAGATTTAGAAATATATGAACCCAACAGAATAGATTATTCATCATTTGACAGCAAGTGCTGGCTCAATTCGTGGCACTGGCAGCTAGTATGGGCAACTTCCTGCTTCCTGCCTTCCACTCCAGTTGTCTGAGGCAGTTACCACTGTCCTGCCACGCAACGTTATGGCCATTTGATGTTATTTTTATTTTATGAAACAGTTGTCAGTGTTGCTTCAGACTTGTTGGCAGTAGCATTTCGTAACATTAATTTCTTTTTTTTAAACATTCATTTAGTTTTCTTCCACCACTAGCAGCTGCTGCCACGAATTGAGCCAGTCCTCTCTCCCATTTCATCGGCAGCAGTTAATGGGTTATGTTTCATATCTCATATCAGCATTCTTTACACATACTAACTGTACCCCATGTGACAAACATTAAAAAACAAAGTTATTGTGGTCATATTTTTCTTTATAAATGAAGTCCCTGCGCTGATCCTTCTGGACAAAAATGTTTGTTCCTTTTGTAGAAGTCCTCCTCGTCTTGTTTCAACTTTAAAAGTCCACCTCAGTGGAGCTCACTGCCAGGGAGGAACAGTCCTGGTCCAACTGTACGTCTTATTTTTCAGTGCTGAGAATGACCAGCTGAAGCAACAGTGTTGCCTCAGAAACAGGCTGAATGAGATCCTTGTGGGCTAAAAAGTTGAGAAGCCGTCTAGGAGATTTACATTCATTTCTCATTGTTTGCGAGCTATACAGTCCGATGAGATCCGCCTCAAGTCTCACAAAGTCAAACATCTTGGTGCATTTAGACAGGCTCTGTAGGTTCACCTTATCAAGATATGATATTTCACCCAATTTTGCGCAATCGACCAAACCAAGGAAATGATCAAACCTGGCCTTCATTTGATCACTGTTGTCCAAAATTAAACAGAGCGCTTGTCTCGGTTCATCTCTGATCACCTGTCTGACTCTGTTTCCACTTCCTGTCAGGCCAAGTGCACCACATTTTTACTCAAATCAGTCATAGAAACTATCAGATGCCAGCCTCCTGCGCTCGAGAGCAGCAGCGGCGTCGTGCATGTGCTTGAGAGCACCTTGTTTTGCATCACTCTGAAAAACGCGTCAGTTCCATTGAAAACGCACTCACATCCCGTGAGGAGAAACTGATCGTATCCTGCTGCCATCATCAGCGTGT